CGCCGCCCGCCGTGGCCACGGGCGCGCTGGGCGGCAGCCGCGGCCCGCGTGGGGCCCCTTTGTGTAGCCCAGGAGATCCGCAGAGAGCTGCCAGTTCGCGAGTGATTCTGCCCTTGTTTCCTCTCGAGCTGTGGGAGTTGCTGCTTTTTATGGAAGTCCTCACCGGGGACCGTTTCCTGACACGGTGTCCGAGCGGCTCTGTTATTGTCTTGCAGCTCTCCATCTGCTTCCTGCACGGGCAGGAAGGAAAGGATGTAGAAAATCTCCTCTTGTCTTGCTGGGTGTCATTAAAGGTTACAGGACTGTTTACAGCAAAAGCCTCCTCGCTCATTAGCTCAGGAACGTGCTACAGCAGTACTTGTGCATACTTGGATTGGAAGGGTAGCAAGTTTAGCCCATACTTTGCTTCATTTTACTTGGTCTGAGAAATAGCTAAATGCCTGAAATGACAAAACTGACAGCAAACTTGATGCTAATAAACAGATATGTTCAAACAGACCAGGTCTGACATTAGAGAGCCCTGCGTGGTCCAGAGTTCTTTCTCCTGCTACAGGATCAGTCTAGCTGTTCTTAAAAACATGCTTAGGGCTAAAACTAGGCTTGACATCTATGACCAATGTATAGACCTGAGTTATACTTCTATTTCTACCAAAGGTCTGAACTGTGAAACAGTAAGTGTAGCTGCTTTTAGTCATGACTTGTGAAAGATTGTAGCAAACACCTCTGTCTGCTAAGGAGGGGCTCTCGCATGTAGTGTGTCTGGAGAAGTTCTGGTCAGTCATATGAGGCCCTTTTGCTACTTAAAATGCCCTTAGTATCTGCATGGGTCTTGGCTGCTCCTAGCTGCTTGCTAGACAGAAATCACTTTTCTGGAAAAAATATTTTGTAACATGCAGTTGCCTTGGATTATATTTGTCAGTGGACTGCTTGTCTAAAATGATGCTCAGACGTAGAAGTCAATTTACTGTGGTGTTCTAGGATGATGAGCTGGTGTGAAGAATGATGACAGCTGGTGGGAGTCCAGTTAAAGCGTTTTCAGACAAATTGATCTCACTTGGCACTAAGTTTATTAGAATTACTTTGTGTCTTTGTGACCAGCAAAGTTTTTGTATTGTTTAATGGGCCTTGTTTGTAGTGCCTGTTTAATTAGAGTAACGTTATTTTAGATGTTATAAGTTCAGTAGCTATTCAGATCTCTGGCAATTTTAAGATGCCATCTGTAGCTGCTAAGAAATTTGCTGTACCAGATGGAGAGAGAGGTGTGGGCTTTTTCCATGATGAAAGCTGAGGTGGAGTGAGAAGAAAGAGGGACGTGGGAAGGACAGCAATACAGTTAATATTTATAAAGGGTTACTCATGCACGATTGGCACAAAACAGACAAGCGAACAGATGATTGTAGACTGAAATAGACAAATAGAGAAAAAAAGCCATAATGAGAGGGGCAAGGCCAACAAAATGTTTCTAAGGACAACAGTTTTTAAATGGATAGCTGAGAAACCCATACTTGTACTTTCCCGAAGAACTTTAGCTTTAGCCTATTAGACTGAGTTTTGTTTTCCATTTATTAGTTTGTTTCCACTCTAAGCTCCTTTGGGAAGGAAAGATAAATAGTGACACTGGGGAAAGGAAGGAAGCTGCAAATCTTAGCTGGCATTTAAGTGAGACATATTCCAAAGACTGGACACTTTTAGAATAGAAGAATCAATATTATACTGATTGTTTGGTGTTCCAAGACAGAAGCTTGGAATTAATAATTTTGAGTGAAAGAATGTACCAAGAAATAGAGCATTATCTAGTGTTGAGGCACCTGAGAGAGAGGCTGCTGAAACCTCTGTAAATATCTCCAGTTCAAACAAACCCAAACAGCTCATACATACTGCAGGTGGAGAAGTCGCAGAAAGTTCTTCCAGGAGGTTTAAATCTGCATAAAAAGTTATGTTCTTTGGGGAAGTTGATAGGGAACTGAATTCTTACTGTTATTTCAACTTGGACTACAAGTGATTGTAGTGTTGGATGAAGACCAAATGAAAGCAAGTCCAGAAATGTTAAGTTTCCTCACTAAGTTGGTCAGTTAAGTTGGTCTCACTAATGCAGCCGTAACTGAACAGTCATTATATTGTTCAGTGAGTTGTTTTAAAAACATACATCTCTTAATGTGGGCTTATGTTTTTGTTTTAGATGGTACTTTCAGGTTTCCATATTAATTCTGCATGTTTCTCTTTCAAAGGGTCCAGTGGATTATGACTGTTTTTGCCCTGCACTCCTCATCTTGTGATTTGTGACTCTTCATCAATCACGGCGGAATCCATCAAGCCCACGCTCTGTAGAGTTGTCATCTACCTACAGAAGGAGATGTCAGGAGACACTTGTCTAACCACTCTTTGTCCAGCTGCAGGATCCAAGCCCAAAACTTGCAGCTTCAAAGGGGGCAACCTTGGTAACAAGTACGTGCGGCTAAATGTCGGGGGCTCCTTATATTATACTACAGTTCAAGTACTGACCAGGCATGACACGATGCTGAAGGCTATGTTCAGTGGGAGGATGGAAGTGCTCACAGACAAGGAAGGTAAGGGGAATGTCACATGATATGGAGGATTTTGTCAAACAACAGTTTTTGTAGACTACCCTGAGTGAAGGGTACAAGGAAAAAATGTTTTCTGAAAGTAATTTGGAAGTTAGGCACTCAGCTGTTATTGGCTCTGACAAGCCTCTGTCAGAGGCTGTGTCACACATCATGAAGATGTGTGCTTTTGTTACTAAAATTAGCTAGAGGAAGGACTGGTTCTCTCTGTGACAATCACATCTGGTACACAGACTGCTGACGTTCTTATCAAGACTGGGCATACGGTATTTGGAGTGGAGTTTATTGGGTGGTGTATAGTGGCATCAGTCAAACTGGGAGGGCATTCATTTTTCATCTTTCAAACTCAGAACAGCCTTGCTTTGCTATGGCAAGAATTCTGTGTTTTTATTCTGTGTTTGTTGTTGTTGGGTTTTGTTTGTTTGTTTGATTTTTCTCTCCTAATAATATTTTTCACTTGTGACTGAAAATACATATCCAAGTTGTGACAGTATTAAGTCACCAGACAAGTATGTCAAATCATGCTGCATATTGAATCTTGGTATTATAAAAATCCGTAATAAATTATAGAGAATAGAGGAAAACTGCTGTCAGCAAAACCTATGAATGCTTTTGTTTACTAGTCTTTTTACTAGGAGAGTAAAGGTACTCCCTAACAAAATTATACCTTAGAAATGAGCCTTGTAGCATGTGGAGAAGAGGTTGAGAAAGGATGGCAAGTATTTCACCTCTTGGTGTTTCTGTGAAAGCTTTCCACCCGCTTTCACAGATTTCCTCTTTCTTTTTTTTTTTTTTTCTTTTCTCTCCAGGCTGGATCCTCATAGACCGTTGTGGGAAGCACTTTGGAACAATTTTAAACTATCTCCGAGATGACACAATTGCACTGCCAAAACACAGACAGGAGGTCAAAGAGTTGATGGCAGAAGCCAAATATTATCTCATTCAGGGCTTAGTAGACATGTGCCAAGCAGCCCTGCAGGTAAGAAATGGAAGTAGTCTGTAGTCACTGATGGATGACTTCAAGGTGTGTTTGTGTGTATAAAAAAAAAAAAAAAAAAACTTCACATTCTAGGTTTAACATGCTTTGCACTTCTACAAGAAGTAGCCTCTGAATGTTTCTGTTGCTTTTCTGTTGGTTTGGAATTTAAAACTTTTTTTTCTCCTTTTTTTTTTCCTCTAAAGAAATGAAATGTTCCAAGGCTTTCCTGTTAGCTATTGAGCTTTTCTTAATTTGCTGCATGAGAAATCTACAGTCACAGACTGTTCTTGAAGCTCTTGCTGGTTGCTTTTTGTACCACAAGGAGTTCAATGACACGCTGCTCTTCTTGCTAAATGTTCAGTTTGCAGCGGCTGACCTTCTTATATACTGCAGTGTTTTGAGTTAAAACTTTTGCAAATTCTTACTATCCTTTCTTCAAAAAAGGCATAAATAATAAACCCACTTAAGTATGCTTTCAGTTCAGAGTCTTTGCTTAGTTAAGAAGGACGTTCTCTTGCATGCCAATATTTCAATTATTGGTGCCTTCTGGGAATAAGAAACCTCTCTGCTGTATTTCTAGTTTGCAGATCAAGGTAATGCTGTATGGTTACTATAGCAACATAAGGCTCTTCCTTTGCATCACAGGGTTTGGGAACATGGCTGGAGGGTTTGGAGAAGAGAGCAGCAGATGTTAGTTTCATCATTTATATCTCTTGGGGTTTTATTTGCTTTCCCTCTCCTTCCTTTAAAATAGGACAAGAAAGACTTGTATGAACCTGTCTGTAATATCCCTATCATCACATCTCCCAAAGAAGAAGAGAGACTCATAGAATCATCAATGAAAGTAACTGCTTTTCTACAACTCTTTAGTCAAAAAGTGAATTTCTGCTAACTGTATTCAAACACAGAACTTATTTTTTTTCTTTTTTTCATCTCCCCATAGCCTGTTGTTAAGCTGCTTTATAATAGAAGTAACAACAAATACTCCTATACCAGGTATGACAGTTTTCTCTGCACTGTAATGAGAAAGTTTTCATTTGACTATGGGAGGGGAAGAAAATATAACTAGTAAAATTGGATTTGTTATCAAGGTAACCATATTTTCACTGACTTTCATATATCCATGCATAACTTTCCAACCACCTATAAAAGGAAACAGAAAATGGTATAGAATATGTACTTTAGAAACAGTTGCATCCAAGCTAATACTAGAGGAGTAAGGTTTTAGGGTTTTTCAGTTGATCAAATTGCATATTGGTGGTGTTATTTAAGGAGAGTATTTTAAATTTTAAAAGTAATGTTTTGATAACTTCGATTTTAAAGCTATAACACTATATAAATATTTTTAAGAACAGTTGGATCTTGCTTGAAAAGCAGTCAAGATCCTGAAGCTTAGCTGTCAGTAAAACTTATTTCCCTAAATTATGTGTTCCCCCTGAAAATCTGCATATGATATAATTAGTCCATCCTGAACATTGGTCAAGGGGTGTTTGTAGATGATTGCTGTAATGACAGCAAAATTTCCCAAATCATTATTATCTAACTTGAGCTCTAAAGTCTGAAATATTTGCTCATGGGAATTAGACTGTCACCCTCATTTATTTATTTCTGTGGCATATAGTGGTGAACTGCTACTCCTATTTTAGAGTTAGATCAACACTTAGAACTGTGGTGGAACAAGCATACTAATTCTGTAGAAACAGCCAGCTGCAAAACTACAAAAACTTTTTTCCTTCTTTTGTTGCTTTCTTTCAGTAACTCAGATGACAACTTACTGAAGAATATAGAACTGTTTGATAAACTCTCTCTCCGATTCAATGGCAGAGTTCTCTTCATTAAGGATGTCATAGGGGATGAAATCTGTTGCTGGTCTTTCTATGGACAGGGTCGGAAACTTGCTGAAGTCTGCTGTACCTCAATAGTATATGCCACAGAGAAGAAGCAAACTAAGGTACTGGCGTTTGTCCTACCTGTTGCTTATGGTTGAGAGAGAAAAAAAGATCACAGAATAGCTGAGGCTGGAATGGGCCTCTGGAGATCATGTGGTCTACCCCCTGCTCAAGCAGGATCACCTAGATCAGGTTGCAAAGAACCATATCAAGTTGCATTTTGAATGTCTCTGAGGATGTTCTTCCTCAAGATGAGGATGTTCTGTTTTTGTACATAGCTAAAGACTTGCTTCAAAGCACTGTGTCTTAAAGGGATGACTGTTACATGCATGAAAACATGATAATAAATATAAGGATGAATCTAGATACTGTCCCTAGCTTCAGGATGTAAATCTGGTCTGCACTGGTGTAGGTATGCTGATGGGATCTGACATTGGATCTGAGTTGCATTTAAGAATCAGAAATACTTGTATTCCATTACTGAACAACCTAAAAGGAGAGGTAAGGGATCTAGCAGATGGGGTAATCCTAGGCAAGGGAATAGCCTGCTTTGCTCATCTTTCCCTTTTACAACTTTTTACTTTTTACTATGAATCACACAATTTACATGTTTGTGTGTCTCTATGTTTGTGTGTCATCTTATCCCGGGTTGATCAGGGAAAGGACATGTGCTTTTTTTCTGTTTTCTTCTTTTAGGTTGAATTCCCAGAAGCACGAATATATGAGGAAACACTAAATGTTTTACTTTATGAAACACCACGGGTTCCTGATAACTCTCTGCTGGAAGCAACAAGCAGGAGCCGAAGCCAGGCCTCTCACAGTGAGGATGACGATGGTTTTGAACTTCGTGACCGAGTGCGTCGAATACATGTGAAGAGATACAGCACTTACGATGACCGTCAGCTTGGCCACTAGCTTGTCAATTGAGGAGAAAGGGTTTACTTTGAAGGCTTGTGCTGATATTCTTTGCGTGAGATCAAGAAGTTGGGAGGGATAAATTGGACGCTGTGGATTAACGTTCATCTGGCTTCTTGGCTCCTTAGAAAAGCTAAAGGGCATTTCTGCACACAAAGTAACACTAAAGGCCGAAGGCTTGAAAACTGACATGATAATTTTGCACCATATGCTTTAAATAGAGACTGACCTCTTTGTTTGCTACATGAGGAGCTGAATCTTGAACGTTGCTCCAACAGTTCATATTTGGTCTTTTGTATCTAATGATTTGCCAGTTATCTTGCTTCCTATGAGAAATACTGTTCTTTTCCCTGGATAAAATGGTGTGATTTATACTTTTTCCAGACACTTGCCCTTCTCGGGTTTTGTGTAATGGAACTTCCATTTTTTTAAATCAAGTTATTAAAAGAGAGGGTGCAGAGGATCAGAACATGGATACTTTTAGCAAACGCTACGTCCTGATAACCCATGGAGGGAGATGGTAAGCTATGCAATAATCAAATACAGTGTATTATATTTGTGTTATCCCACTTTTTCCGTGATACCCATTCAAAAGATTTTCTTTTCTTTTTCTGCAAAATAGATGTCTTTAAAATTCATTAAATCTTAACTACAATCTTCTAATTCATCAAAAACACTGAATGTCTGGCCTGGTGCTAATTTTAAAAGGACCTTTCAGAAAGTTGGTATCCAACCTGTTCCCCAGACTGGGTCTCTGGAAATGGTTTTGCATTTCATATGGAGAAGTTAATGATGTATTTTAAAAAGTTTAATTACATCTTCCCATCCTAGGCTGCAGATTCAAATACTACCACTGTCATAAATGGATTATTACTTGAAGGTTGCTCTTTGGCACCTATGGGTATGTAATACCAGTGCAGCATGATGTACGACTGCTTTTATGTCCCTCTATTGTAAATGAACAAGGAAGCTTCAGGTTCCAGGATGTTTAGGCTCAAAATCCTTCGATTAGTGCCAAATTTTATGTAAAAGTCCTATGTAAAAGCAAATTGCTGCAAAAGCCTGACAAGAAAATAAGCTTAGATTAATACTGTCAAGTCATAACTAAAATTAAAATGGCAGATGTTTTAGTAGTCATGGATGCTTGCAGAAGAGGGAACATAAAAGTAATTTCCACTGGGTTAAGCTGTTGAAAGTGAGATTGCTGAGGCTGGTTAAGAAAGCACTAGTAGTTGTTAACTTTTTATTGTCTAGCCAGGCCTCTACTCTTGGGAAGTTTTCACTCATTTCTCCTGACATCCAGGAAGTAGTATTACCACCGTAATGCACCTGCCTTTTGTGAAAGGCATCTTTAAAATACTAAAAACCAGCAGCCTCTTTGCTTGCTGCAAGTTGTCTGTTTTCCAGATGGTTTTGCTATTGTGCTAGTCAAAATACAGCTGCTGAGATTATTGTTGATGGGCATTTGTGGGTTTTATTTTTTTATTCTGCTAAACTTTAGGGAAGTTTACTTAAGGGATATTTGAGTAAAGGAGTGTATCCTTACTTTACTTAAGGGATATATTTTGTTTTGACAAGAATATATTCTAGAACACATTTTTACAACCTGATATGATGGAGAATAAGTGAAACACTGAAAACATCGAAAAGGATAATGCAGCTTTGAATTACAGTCTTCATTTACATGTAGTAAGCTGTCCACTTTTAGGAGAGAGTGAACAGCCCTGCTTGTTAAAATTCTTCTCTGCTGGCTTTAAATATTACAGATAACATTAAGATTATATAGATTTCTAATTTTATGCATTTATGTCTGAGACTTCTCATTTATGTATGAGACTTCTCATAATTTTTTAGATAGACCATCACCAATGGATGCATTTACTGATGTGCCTGTGAAGTAGCCTTTAGTAAGAAGTGTCCTTGCCTTGTTTGTAATGTAGGTATTTAAACTACATCAGCTAGCATTCATTAGCTGGTGGAGCATCCTTGGAAACCTTACCCTCCACGCTTGAATTCAGGTGAACTTTATGCATTCATATATTGTATTAGCAGGCTGAGAGAAGGAGTAGTAAACATCAACTGACATCTGTGCATAAGTTCTGTAACAGAGGGTTGTGTGTTTCTGTAATGGGGTCCTAACATACTGCAGAACAGCCTCGGTCTTTCTACAGAGAAGCAGACTTGGTGCCTTGAGTGAATGTCTTAGGTTAAATTGCTCTTCAGTATCAGTGTTAATTAGGTGGTAATGTCAAAGAGATAGCACTGCAGAGTAGCAGCCTCAACCACTTGATAAATGCAGAGACAAAACTAAATGTTAACCTTCACCTTGACATTTAGATTTTGGAACAGGAGACATCTATCCTATTGTAACATTCAGTTCTGCTGACTTTTAATCTCTTGTGCTGCATGATTAAAAATAAAATAATCCTAGAATGCCATTGAAGGAACTGATAAATGTTACAGAGAAACTGTATTCTGTGTTTTTGTTTAGATTTTTTTCTTGGCTTTTTTAGATTTTCAAACATTATCGACTCCTAGAAATACTGATAAAGTTTAGCTTAATTGAATGAGTCTAGCACAATTAAATTATATCCTCTGACAATCCTTGATATTGAATCTATAAAGCCAGACTTCACATTAGGAGAACTGGTGTTTTATTAAGAGATGAGAGGACATGAGTTCCATTTCCAACTTAGCCAATAACTTGGTGACATTGAGCAAATCAGTTGTTGTGTAGGTGCAGAACTTTCCTCATTTGTAATAAAATAGGGATAATATCCTCCCCTACCTCAGAGGAATATTGAGACAAATTGTGGATAAGGGGTTTTTAAAATTTCTTTTTCTGTACTACTTTGTATCCAGAAGGTGTAACAAATATGATTGTTGTTCCTGTTTTAACTTGCATTCTATGATCGAGCTGTTTTCTGACAGTTACCAGGCTTTTGTTTTATTTTTATGTCTAATTTTTAAGGGCAGTAACTTTACTAATCATTGAATAAAGTGTTTCATCTCTCTTTTTATCAGTGTGTTATATGGAAATGGAACACTAATTTATAATAAACTGCTATATTTTATATCTTCAGTGACTTTTCCTCCATTGTCAGAAGTTGTTATTTTTTCATAATGTTTTCTTTAAGTATACACTTCTGTTCTGCATTGAGGCATCTTAAATACTTGATGAAGATCTCAACTACAATTACAGAAATACTGTATTGGCAAATGACTTTGTGTTATGTGCTGTAAACTACCTTTCACCAATCCCTGCAAGTACAGGCTATAATTCTGCAGGAGATAAATTGAGGTAGAGGGGAAAAAAGTAATGTTAATATCTTTATTTCTGAATGACAACTGAAGAAATAATATTCCACATAGCATCTGAGTGTTTTCTAAAATTTTATATAATCTCCTTGTTTAGAAAGATAAGAACCTCTGTGGTCTAGTGCATTCCAGCTACACCTTCCTCTAGTTGTCTGGCTGAGAATGGGTTTATGTGAGAGGCAGCTCTTCCTACTTTGGCCCTGTGATGTATAGGAGTGCATAGAAACTGAAGCTCTTTCTCTTCATTGTGGTAGGACTTTTTTTCTTTACCTTGCAGATGGGTAACTGTGCAGTACTCCTCTTTTCCCTTCTCTGTCTGCACTGTCTCACTTGGTGTGGTCCAAGTCCTTCTGCCTCTTTTATTTTCTGTGCCATTCCCTCCTGGATGTTACTCTGTCATGTTCCTTCCAGTGCAGCCCCAACTACTGTAGGATTTTCAATAGCAGCTAAAGGACCAGTGTTTGTTAAAACAACCTAATTACAGCTGCTAAAGAAACGATCCTGCCTATGTCCTTATCCTCTTTTTAAAGAGTATCTTGCACAGCTCAGGGCTGTTCCATGTGACCTTGCAGTCAAAATAGTGTAGTTTTGCCAAGACCCAAAAGTAAAATTACGTGTGAATATGTATGCTGTTTACTCTTTTAACATTATATTTCAATATAAGGGATTAAGCACTGGAAAATGAACAAAAAACAAGTTAACTGACCTCCCTTCTCCAGCGATGCGCTGTGCAGCTGCAGGAATTGCCAAATTGTAGTGAACTTCTCTGCAAGGTCTGCGTCGGAGGAGACTCTTTCACGACCAGCTTCCTCACTTGCCCCTGGTTTTAACGCAGGATGAAGGGATAAATCAGCACTGGACACTCAGCACAAAGCAACGTGTACCAGAGGCACCAGAAAGGGACACTGCCCCCAGGCCCTGGTCCCGGGCAGCCCCGGGGCAGGGCAGGGGCCGGCGGTGCCTCCGCGCTGGGGAGGGGGCGGCCGCGTTACCTCAGCGAAGGGGACCCGCGTTACCTCAGGGGAGAGGGGGGGCCCGCGTCACCCCGGGGTGGCGGGAGCGCGTTACCTCAGGGGAGAGGGCGCGCTGCCTCGGGGGGTGGGGGGGAAAGGGGGCGCTACCCGAGTGTGTGTGTGAGGGAGCCGCGTTCCCTCAGCGCGGGGGTTGCGCGTGACCTCGGCATGGGTGCCGCGCTAGCTCGTTACCTCAGTGAGGGGGGGCCGCGTTACCTCAGAGGGGATGGGGCGCGCGCTGCCTCTGTGTGTGTGCGCGGGGGGTCGCGTTACCTCAGCGCGCGGCTCGCGCTACCTGAGCGAGTCAGTGGCGCGCTACCTCGGAATGGATGGGGCGCGAGCTACCTCGGGGCGGGGGGGTCGCGTTACCTGAGTGTGTGTGTGGGGGTCGCGCTACCTCCGCGCGTGGCTCGCGCTGCCTCAGTGAGGGGGGCACGTTACCTCCGAGGGGATGGAGCGCGCGCTGCCTTAGCGTGTGTGGGGGGTTCGCGGTACCTCCGCGCGTGGCTCGCGCTCCCCCGCGCGGGACGCGGGTATCGCGCGGCGGCCCCGCACCGCAGGCGCTGTCCGGCCCGCGCCCGGGCCGTTGCCATGGAGCCTCCTCCTCCCCGCGGCGGCGGGCGGCGCGGCGCGGCGGGCGCGATGGGCTGGGAGGAGAAGCAGGT